GCTTGGGGTTTCTAAGGAGGTCCCTCAGGTAGGTGTGACTGATGACATACTGGCACCGGGTGTTTGGCTCATCCCCAGCCCTTCTTCCTTCCTTGAGGCCGTGGGGTAGGGTGGGACGTTCTAACTGTCACGGTTGGCTTCCTGAAGCAATCTAGGCTTCTAGCCAGCAGCGCCTCACTAACTGACAAGACAATACCCTTTGGCTCCAGAAATTCCAAGGGCCTTAGAAGCTCCTGTGTCAGGAAGAGGGGCTAAGACCAAACATCGTAACACAGGGTGCTTCCGTCACTCCTGCCGCCTAGGAACTTAGGTGGCTTTCTGTGCCAGGAGGTGGGCAGGGGCCCGACCTGCATCCCACCAGGTTTCAGCAGGTTGCAGGACAGTGTGGGTAGACTGTGGGGAAACTGTGCTCTCCAATTTCAATCCTGGATCCAAATTCATATAATATTTTTTTAAACATTTCTGATTGTGAATTATTAGCCCATGGACTAAGCTGAATATTTTACTTAGAGATCTGGATCTTCAAATACCCATGTAAATTTTACCCATAATTTGTCAAAGTAACAAGTCAAAGAGGATCATACAATGAGTAAACTCCCAGTGGACAGAAGGCCTGGGAGACACACCGTGTGGGCTGCGTGCTCAGAACAAAGACCAGCTCCCTCAGGGCCTATGGCTGAAGAGGGACCCTGCTCCTGGGAGGTGCCTGGTCCCTCAGGAAGTGAGGAAGAGCCTCCCGTCAGGCTCCTGGCAGGGGTGGCGTTGGCAGTGTCTGCAGGGGAACTAGCCTCTGTCCAGCCTAGATTCATGTGCACCAACCCACGATCCATCAGGCAGGAAGGACCTGAAGAGTCCAAATCTCCCTTTCAAAGATGTGCCCGTCTAAGGCCCACAGAGAAGTGACGTGTCGCAGGTCGAGCCGTGAGTCGGTGCTGTCATTCAACAGCACACAGAGGAGCAGTCTCCCGAGGCTCCCGGACCATGAGAAGGGACTGCAGGCGGGAGGGACCTGACCTGGGCGCTGGGCCTGGAAGGTGTGCTCCCAACAGCAGAGGGAGGAGCTTTCTGGAGCTGGATTCCGCACTTCAACAACTGACAACCAGGCAGGCCACTTGCCCCAAGGCCAGCGAGGGGTGGAACGCTGCCAGGAGCCAGGCTCACTGTCCCACAGGAGCCCTGGTCCTCGAGGTGAGGACTGCCAGGGGCCGTGGGCATGGCCCAGGAGCAGCAGCAGGAGGAGGAGCTGGGCGGCCTTCCCCTGACCACGGGGCCGCACAGGTACAGGGAAGCAGGGGATTTCAAACAAAGCCCTAACCTTCTGTCCCGCTGAAGATTCTGGCAGGCTCCCGTTTTGGATCCTAGGACCCCATCTGAATAAGTGGTCACAGCAGCTGGCCCGCCCACCCACTGGAAATGCAAGCCAAGCAGTAAGTGCTTCAGAGTCTAAGGAAGTTTGTCCTTATCCCAGGAAGGCCTGCGGCTGCTGGGCTGGCCTCCCCAGGCCGCTTGGTTGGTGGGAGCCTGTCCTCAAGAAGGGTGGGGAAGGGGCGCGTGGAGAAGTGTGCTGGCAGAAACAAAATCCAGGCTGCGGAGCGAAGGCCTCACTGCTACCACTGCCATCATTACCACCTCGCATTCCACGAGGCCAACAGGCCCCGAGTTCCACCCCAGCCTGGGCCCCAGCCATGCCTGTCACGCCTTGCCTTGTCACCCAGCACCCAGGAAAGCTGGGTCGAGTGGTCTGTTGTCATGCTCTGTAGAGTGGACCCGCTGTGGGGCCTAGGTGGCTGCCCCCAGAGCTACAGGCCCGGAGCCAATGCCCACGAGGAGCTCAGGAGAGAGCTCCCTTGTCCCAGACGATCTCCGATGCCCATCTTTGTAGCAAAGGCCCAGGAAGCCAGAGACTGAGCCACTGAGACGTTCCTGAGTGCCCAGCTGCCTGGGACCCGTGGAGCCCTGAGGCTTCTCCTGTACTGCTGCCTTCTACGGGGAGCTGAACCACCAGGGTCCTCGACGGCCATCTCTCTGGTCTGTTTCATTTTTACGGGATAAATTAGGTTCCCCAGGTTGGGCCTGAAGTTGAAGAACTCATTGCCATAGGAAGATAGATTTTGTGGTCACCAAGTAAAAGTGTCAGAAAACCAGATCTTTCCAGGGTCAAATGTCTGAGTGTCTCTTCCATGTAAGAAGTTAAGCAGCAGAAAAATTACTTCATTGTACCATTCCTATTCCAGAATAATGTTAGGCCTCCTGGCCAGCAGTGGGTTCACTGTGGAGAGGCAGAATGGAAGAAAGGAGAGCCCACGGAAGTGTGGCCAGGGCCCCGGCAGCACACAGGTGGTAAACCACATGGGCCAGAGAGTTGTGGGTTGGAGTTCCAGCTAATGCTGTGGCTGTGGCTACAGGATGTTCCTGCCCTCTCTGCACCTCAGCTTCCTAGTTTGGAGAACAACAGGGTGTTATCTGGGTGTCACCTGCAGCAGGCAGAGAGCACCAAATTCAAGACCTTGGTCCAGAGGCATCTGAGGAGTAGCCTTGGAAGGCCCGGGAGCCAGCGCCTGCCTGAGTGAGATTCCATGGTGCAGGCAGAGGCATGGAGTGGGGGCGGGCAGGCACCACCTGGCCCTGCACCCTCTCCATGACTCTGGAAAGTGGGACTCAAGACCTCATGTTATAAACAACTGTATGATCCCACACATCTGCACCCTGTATGACCATATGAAGCCCCAAACACCACAAAGCTCTGCCAAGTGGAGGTGGACTTTGTACTGCCTCAGCCGTGCAAAGGTGCTCAGGACACTTTCCACCAGGTCAGGTAGCGGGTCCTGGGGTACACACTTGAAAAAGTCCATCAAGCTGTGTGCATCCCAACTGTTCTAAGGAGGCCACAACCAGCCGAAAGAGAATGGATACCACGACTCCTCAAGAAGATTTCCAGTCAGGCCACGGTCAACCAACCACATCCAACACCTAACTCGGCTCTGACCTGCCCCAGCAGAGGTTCATTCAACCCACAGCAGCACAGGAAGCCTGGGTTTTGCATCTGACTCACTACCTGACAAGGCTAAGTGACGCCCTCCTGGTGGGTCATGACCCTTATCTGGAGACAAGGGTGGGATTGCCTGATTTACTTATGATGCACTCAATTTAATAAAACAACTAGTAGTTTATTTAATTTAAGCACTTGCTTTGAAAGAAGAAGAATGTGACTAATTTACCCCCCCCCTTTTTGATATGTAGAGAAAACAGCTTCCACATCCCGGGGTAGGGAGGTAAGTTCAGATCAGGAACATGAAACTCCGCTCACTCCACCACAAAGCTCAAGGCTCTTGGGTGAAAACAAGACAGTCTCATAAACATTGTTTTTTTTTTTTTTTGGGTGCCTACAATGCTTCAGGCCTGCGCCCACCACTCAACACTGCTGTATCTGGGAAGCTCCTTCCAACACACCCCAAGTTCTAGGCAGAAAACCTGCACATCTCTGGGCCTGCCTCGGCAGGGGCGCACTCTGTAAGCACCTGCTTCGAGAGCTACCCCAGGAGGCATGCCTGACTCTGCCTTCATTAAGCTATAAAACTCGCCAAGGGTTCAACTGGGCGCAGAGCTCCACCACATCAGCCCAGGCGATACCAAGCACCAGAAGCACCGCATCTCCCACTTCCCTCCTCAGTCCCGGTAGCAGCAGCAGCAATAACGAAGGACACTAATGCCAATAGTACTAATTCTGAGTGATAAAATGTGCCAAGCGGCCTGCTAAGAGTTTACGAACTAGCTCGTTTACAGGTAAAAACAACCCTATCTGTCCCGGTTTTACAGATAGCGACACGGAGGCACAGAATACCAAGTAAGTTGCCCTGGGATTCCTCAGAGAGCATGTGGCAGAACCAGACTCAGGTTCCTAACCACCAAGCTCGAGAGGAGGACCCTAGCTGACTGCAGGCCCTGTCGAGGCTATCCCAATGTCCGGTGAGGCCTCAGCCCTCCCTCTGAAGCTACTGTCATGTGGCCAGGGAAAGCCACACATGGTCTCGCATCCTTGCTTTGCCTTCCAGCTCTGCTCCGCCGTCCGTGCCAGGCCCTCACCTGTGCTGTCCTGCAGGGGCGCAGGGCTGTTCTCGGTACAGGTCCCGCCCTCCCAGTTTCCTTGCAGCCTCTTCCCTACCTGCCCCAGGCCCAGGCCTTCCTCAGCCCCTGTGCTGCAGCTCCTCTGCCTGGGACACCCACGCACACCTGTGTGGAGAAGTCCTGACCCTCACCACTCCAGCCTAGATGTCACCACTGCTGTTGAAGCCTCCCTCGGTGACCCACATGGGAAAAGTCACGCACTGCTGTTCGTCTGTTCCCCAAGTGTCCTGCAGGTAGCCTTATTAGAGTACATACTACAATTTCAGGTTTATGAACACCCGGAGAGGTACCTCGAGGGAGGAGTTCTTTTCTCTTCTGCCCCACCAGTTCCTTGCACTCCGTAAGTATTTAGCAAATGTTTGTTAAACATATGGATAATTGAATTCACGAATAAATTGTTGATTGTTCTCTCCCGTTCCTGCCAAAGATGTGCTCTAGAATATGGAAGTAGGATGGCCAACATAAGACAGATCTGGACATGCAGCTTTGGGAGCATGGAAGTACAAGCATGTATCTCAAAGATGGCAAAAAGATACATGCACGTCTGTAATCCCAGGCTCGGGAAGCTGAGGCAGGAGGATGGCAAGTTCGAGGCCAGCCTCAGCAACTTACTGGGGCCTAAGCAACTTAGTGAGACTCTGTTTCAAAATAAAATATAAAAAGGGCTGGGGAGATGGCTCAGTGGGTTTAACCCCCAGCACCCCCCAAAATACCCTCTCATTCTTCCCTCCTTTACATAGTTGATATCTCTACACCTAGAGTCAGACCGCAAGTTTCTCTGAGGACTCACGTGACGTCACTCCATGCAGCAGCAGCGCCAGGTACAGGAAGGACAAGAGGGGTCTCAGCACCAGGCTGAGGTCGAGCCCACTTACCTCCCTCCTGGGAATTCATGATGTTCAGGGCAAACAGCATGGCGTTGGAGAACGTGGTCGCCTCTTCCTTACTTGCAAAGTTCAAGCCGTAAACCTGGCGGGCGTCGCGCCACTGGTGGAAGGTTGGCGTTGCCTGGTTGTACTTCAGCCCTTTCACGATGGAGTAGTTGATCACAACCTGGGAAGGAGGAGACGTGTTGTCAATGACACGCGGGTGACTGGAGGGAGCTGTAGGGTGCTAGGAGACCGTGTCCCTAAACCCAGGCACAGGAGAGGAGCCGAGTGGAGGAGCGTGACAGCACACGTCAGGCCAGGTCTGTAGCACAGGGAGGGCTGAGCAGCTCTGTTCCAAGAAACACTTAAGCTGTGCTGCCAGCCCCAGAGGCAGGCCTGGGTCCTCAGGCCCTGCCCTACACGGTGCCAAGCAAGGTGGGCACTGCACCTCTCTGGGGCTGTTTCTCCAGTTACAAAGTGGGGATGATGACGTTAGCTTTGTTGTCCCTGTGGGGTTGGCCTGAGGTTCACCCTGCATTGGGTATATTATCTATGCCTAATTTGTGTCTTCTAGACATGGAGTGCCTTATGGGCACTGTCTTCTATAATTCATATTTCTCCTCCCACAGCCCTCTGCCTACTGTCGGGTACTTAGAAAGCATTAATGAGTAATTAGTTTAAAGGAGAATTTTGAAATGTTACAAAGATATACACAGCATTGCTAATGAATTTATTATTATTATTTTTGGTAACTGGGGTTGAACTCAGAGGCACTCAAACACTGAGCCACATCCCCAGCCCTATTTTGTATTTTTCTTTTATAGACATGGTCTCCCTGAGTTGCTTAGCACCTTCCTTTTGCTGAGGCTGGCTTTGAACTTGCGATCCTCCTGCCTCAGCCTCCCAAGCCCCTGGGATTATAGGTGTGTACCACTGCAACCAGCCTATGTTTCTTATTAATCAATCAACAAGCATCACTTGACTTCCAGGAGCAATGGCAGGGTCAGCAGGGAGAGACGCAAAGGAGAGAGACAGAAGCCAGACCTGCGGGGCTAGCAGCAGGGACTCAACGGTGAACTGCCTGGTCCCTGAGCTTCCGCTCCTTAGACATTTGGAAGAGAAGTATCTCAAGTACTTCAGGACTCTGTTTAGTAAGATGCACTCAGTGAAGGCCATGGGGGGTGGAAAGGCACTGCGGGCTGGAGCTGCCATCTGTCTCCTGACCCTGTAGCTCTGAGTCCCGTGGCCTAACACCATGGAACTTGCATCTTAGCTACTCTCCCAATGCAGGAGGATCGAAGTTCCAGGCCAGCCTGGGCAGCTCAGTGAGACCCATCTCAAAATAAAAAGGGCTAGGGATGTGGCTCTGTGGTACAGCACCCCTGGTTTGATCCCTAGTACCACACACACACACAGACAGACACACACACACACAATTACATATGTGAAGTCTTGCACAGGTGAGGGCACACAGTGGGCTGTTATAATCAAGGTCCCTATAAATCAAGAATGCAGGCAGAGTCTAGATGAGTCAGGACTGCCACCATCGGGCACCTGACAGCTGGGTTTTGCTTTAGGAGTGGTGTGAGATGCTTCTCGGATCTGGTGAGGCTTTGAGCTCCAGGTCCTGTGACTGAGCTTGTCAACTGCTCTCTGCACCGAGCCCCTGCAGGACGGTGAGCTCAGGAAGAGGTCTGAGGGGCCAAAGGGACATAGCTAAGGAGCCTTGGGCACCACAAGAACCATGGCATGTCGCTCTCCTTACTGCTCCCACACTGCACTGCTGGGACGGAGACGTTGAGGACAGCCAGCGCGGGCAACATCTGGATGGGTGCTCCTCCGTTTTGGCCAGGTGGGAGGTGGGCTTGGCCTTCCTGAGCAAGCAGTGGGCGGGTGGGAGAGCACATACACTAAGCCAGCCCAGGAATGCAGTTGTCACACTCATTACATACTGACGACAGATGTTTCCAGCAATGTCTGTGCCGGGCTCCTGCCTGGCTCTCTAGTGGTGCTCTTTGCACCAGGAGTACAGATTCACGTGTCTACACTGCTGAGCCAACAGGATGGAGCCATGTGACAGTGCAGTTCTGGGTCAGCAGGAGGCCCCCTGCAGTACATGCATCAAAGAACTGCAAAGTGAAGGTAGCTGCGAGATCTCTTAAGGTCAGGGATACCTTGACAGAGCAGTGGCCGGGTGTGGGTGGGAGAGCTGGCTCCCTGAGTCTGGGTTGAACTCCATGCTCAGCTTTCTGTTTTTATATCTCTTCAGTGGACATTAGCAAAGGGAGCTGGCCACAGGAAACTGTGGGAGAAGTTCTAGAAACTACAGTATAGGAAGAACATTGAGCGATAACAAAGGAAGTCTAAAGAAGAGTCTCCCAGGCATTGTGACGGCTACCTCCAGCTAGTGGAAGGGAGGCTGTGGGAAGTGAGGCCTAGCCTCCTAGGGTGTGACTTCTCTGGCTGGTCACCTTCTTAGTGGGGAGAACTGGGAGGAGGTTGGTCCCCCCCGCCCCCAGAATACGGAGGAATCACTGAAAGGAGTTCACTAGGATTATGAATTCAATCCTCTCTTTTTGTACCTGGGAGGTTGAGGCTGGGCAGAATGAGTGACTGTGCCTGGTTGTAGGTAAGCGATCAGGAGGACTGGACTGGAAGGTGGGCCTGCAGCCTGGGACAGGGAGCGGCCTCCAGCACCAGTAGGATGGATAGACACTTCTTCCAATAATCCCCTCTGGTCTTACCCTGACCTCAGGAGACGTGCAGGCTGGATCTGGCTGCAGGACGGACGTTCAGGGGACTAGATTGGGAGGGGCCATGGTGCCTTCCTGGGGACACATCCCTGCTCTGTAGTTCTCAGGGTCCTGGGTGACACATGCTGGCCTCTGACTCCAAGCTCTCAGGCCAGCCATTGTCGTTGGATCTGTACATGGAGACTATAGGCTCCCTACCAGTGCTTCCAGCTGCCAAAGATCCACATCCCAAATCCTCAAGTGCTTTGGAGACAGTTAATGTACTGGGGACGAGGAAAGCAAAGGGTTTTCAAAGGATTTGGGTTAAGATCCTGGTTTTACTGCTTTTCAATTCAGTAACTCTGGACATGGTGTGTCAGTCTCCTCATGTATCAATGAAGTGCTCTCATAAACAATGCTCCCTGGGTACCCTCGAGAACATGCATTTCTACAGTTAGGGTTAGGGGACATCCCTCGGAGCAGAACCCCTAGAAGGGAATGGCCATTTTAAAACTTATTTTGACTTTTTGAAAATACAATTCTAAACGCCTCTAAAGAAGGATAGTCCAATGCAGTGTGTTTTGGATACACATGTCGGTGACACACACCCATGTCACTTGACTGTCTGTAAGGAGGAAAGGTCCTGTGTATCCAAAGGCCAGACAGACCTGATTGCTGGCTCCTCTATCTCAGTACCTGCCTGGTGCTCCCACTGCTCTGCTGACTCTGCTTGGAATGTCGTGGGACCTTGCTGCACGCTGCACTGGGTCAGGTCCACGTTTGGTTATTGCAGTTTCACTGAATGTCCCTCTCCAGACACTGCCCTGCAGAGATAACCACATTTCTGACTTCTGTCACCTTTAGTAACTTTTGCCTGTTCTTGAACTTCATAGAAATGGATTTGTATGGTGCATATTCTTTTGTTTTTGACTTCTTTCACTCCACACAATGTCTAAGGTCCATCCATGTTATCACCTATTTTAGCATTTGAATTTTTTTTTTTTTAAGTACCAAGGACTGAACACAGGGATGGAACCACTGAGCTTTGTCCCCAGAGTTTTTATTTTATTTTGAGACTAGATCTTGCTAAGTTTCTGAGGCTGACCTTGAACTTGCGACCTCTTGCCTCAGCCTCCTGTGGCATTTAATTCTTTTTGATTGCTACATACATTCCATTTTGAACCACAAATAACTTTTCCATTTTCCTGTAGGTGGGCTCTTGGATAGTTTCCAGCTCTTAATGTCATGAAGAAGACTGCTATGAATATTTCCAACCTGTCTTGTGGTGGACACAAGCACTCATTTCTCTTGCGTTTGCACCAGGGGGAGGGGTTATATGGCAGGTGTGTATTTACTTAATTTAAGTAGGTTCAATCAAATAATTTTCAAAGCAGCTGCTCCCCTCCCAGCAGCTCTACAGGGCCAGGTGCTCGGCCCTTGGCACTGCCTGTCTCCTTGGTCCTAGCTTTTTGGTGTGTGTGGTGCTGTCACTACAGTTTCCTCCCTCTGTCCCTTTGCTGGGATGGAACTCAGGGCCTCGCACATGTGGGGCGCCCCCTCTACCGCTGAGCGATGCTCCCTCTGTGGAGTTTCCACCTGGACGCCCCTGCTGAGCGGCCAGAGGCGACCTTCACACATACCAGCGTTTCTTCTGTCCTACTGCTCTCAAGAAATCCTCCTTCAGTTTTTTTTTTTTTTTTGCTCAATTTTGAAAGAAATATCTGTCTCACTAATTCACAGGAGTTCTACATGTCCTCTCTGTCTCCTTTAAACATATACATTGCGAGTGTCTTCTCCCCGCCTGTCGGTTTACCTCTTAGTACAGTTTTTTTTTAAATGAAGAGAATGTCTCAATTTTAATGAAGTCCAACAATTTTTCTTCTACAGTCAATGTTTCTGGTGTCATATTTGAGAAGTTTGCCTTCTGCAACGTCATGCAGTTTCCCTGCATTTTGTTCTAAAATGCAAATCTTTAGTGCAAATCTGACATTCATGCAAATCTAAAATGTAAATCTTTACTGATTGACTTGTCACCCTTTTGTGACGAGGTCTCGCCATGTTGCCAGGCTAGTCTCCTACTCCTGGGCTCTGGCAGCTCCTGCCTTGCCCTGAGTGACAGGAACCGCAGAGTCAGCTGTGCCAGCTTGCTGTTAATCCTTTTTAATTGGAGAATTGTGTCACGGGCCAGCACGCGGCCTGTTTTGGTCAATGTTTTGTGTGCACTTGAGAAGACCGTATATTGTCGAGCTGTTGGCTGTAGTTTCTATGAATATAAATTAGGTCAAGTTTTCTATGCTTTTGCTAATTTCTACTGCCCATTACTGTACAGCTCACTACTTGGAGGCATGATTAGATTCTTTCCATATGTTCCTGAATTGGTCTGTTTCTCGGAACCTGTAGATCAGCCCATTCTTGTTTTCTATATTTCAAACATATCGTACCAGATGCATAGAAATTTGGGGTTGCTCTAACTCTCCTTTCAATTGACCCTTTTATGATGAAAAAGGTCAGTCTTTCTCTTTAGTAATTCCTGTTGGCTTGGGATCTATTTTATGCTAGGTTAATCAACTTTTACACCAGCTTATTTTGGTTAAATGTTTATAAAGGTTATTTTTTCTACTCTTTTACCTTTCCTCCTCTATCAGCTTTCTTTTAAAATTCATTTTCTAAGACTTGGCAAGACTTATCTGGATGGGGCTGGGGTTTGGCTCATTGGTAGAGCACTCGCCTAGTGAGCTCAAGGCCCTGGGTTCAACCTGCGAAAAATAAAAAGACTCATCTGGATCCTTGTTGAAGATCAGCTTCTTTTAGAATGTTGCACTTCCTGAATAGGAGCCCATAATCAGAGTGTTTGCTTGGGTTTTATTTTGGGGTGTGTAGGAGTAAGGGGGACTGCCTCTCCTAGTCTTTTCAAGGAAGCCCTGCAACTCTAAATGCTGTCTAATACGTCTCTGAAGCCTCTGAGTAAAGTTAGTCAAGAGCTCTTTACAAAACAAGCTGTTGGTGGAGAACTATCTTCTTGACCCTATGTATTTACTTGCGTTCTATCCATGGATAGAATGTTCTTCTCAGAATCTTATTGTCAGGCAGCTGGCTGGCCCCGGGGGCTGGCAGCGCAACACTTCACATCTCCCAACAGTGTGTTTGTGTATTAGTCAGTTTTTCATTACTATTGTGAAATACCTGAGGGAGTCTAACTTTATAAAGAAAAGAGGTTTATTCATAACATAGTCTTGGAGGCTCACAGGGCCATATCTGGTGACAGCGTTCTTGCCAGCAAAGTCCCTCGATGGTGTAGGGCATCCCATGGCAAGAGACAGGGAGCCTTTGAGTCATGGGGACTCTGCCCTGATGACCTTATCCAATCCCAGTCACCTCACCAAGGCCCCATCTCTAAACACCACTGTTGGATTAATTAATGTCTCCTTCCTAAGGATGAGAATTAAATTCCAACCTGGGAACCCCTGGGGGGCACCTACACCTACAAACCATGCAGCTCATAAGCAGGCTCTTCCTCTGCCTGAGTCAGATCCTGTCTGTGCGAGTGTCCTGCTGGCTCTGGCTCTGGGCAGGTTTGAAAGGCGAGATTCCCCTCCACGCGCACCCTCGAGGTGTGGGAAGGTGCACAGCTTCCTCGTCAGGCCTCTCCAGGTGAAGGCGCTGCTGCTCCTTGGTTGCTGCACACTTCACCCAACTTCCAGACCTGTCACAGGCAGATGCCCTTCCTTGGGGCCTAAAGTCGGTGGCACTCGGGTGGCCCCGACATTCAGGGTGGGGTCTGGGCATCTCTGAGTAGAGCAGGCCTGTGCCTCTCTTCTCTGGACTCCGCCTCAGCCAGGCCACTCTAACTTCCTTCACACTACCCTATAACTCAGCCCGAGAACTCAGGACATGTTTGTGGCCCCACTCAGTGCTAACTAACGGTCCCCTAGGTTTCCACTGTCCCGTGAGGAGGCAGAGAGGTGTGGAGGATCCCAGGACAAGTGCATCTGGGATTCAGGGAACCCAGCTCTCCAGGCTGGTCCCTTCCCAGCACACCATGCTGTCTTCACAGTGTGCCTTGGGAGCAACCCAGAGGCATGAGGGCATCAAGACTTGTCCCAGTAGAAGCCACCGTGTCTGGAGCAGACCCTAGAGTCCAGGAGCTGTACCGGGTAATGGACCTTACGTCAGTGGGCCTCTCAGCCTCCATGACCTCCTTACGTAACGGGCCTCTCAGCCAGGGGATTCCACCCCATTGTCCAGCTCCCATGGGGTGTCGTGGAAATCTGTGCCATGTTATGGTTGTCACCATAATTGGGGCCAAGAGTGCTATATACCCTGTAACCTGTGACCCAGTGTCTTTATAAGGCAGATCCAGAACCAGTGAGTAGGAAGAACAGGCAAGCAGCTTCTAGAGTGTCTGTGGGAAAACCTTCATGCCATAAAGGTTCACAACAAAGGAGAGAGCTGCCCGGACCACCTCATGTCGGGCCTCGAGGTGGGGATGCCCCTTGTAGCCACAGAAACCCAACAGGGCTGTTTTGTCATGGAGACCCATTCAACAGGCAGCACACTAAAAGCAGAACCCAAAAAGTTCCTGTTCTCCTTCCTAACTGCTAACATTGTGCTTCTTTGGGCCACAGTTGGCAGCCCTTTGCTCCACTGGCCAGAGCTTGCCCTGCAGAGGCTGCCCGAGTCCCTGCTTTAGCGGAGTTTCTCATGGCTGCTGAAAGCCCGCATCTGTGAGCTCCCAACTTACAGCTGGGGACGCACAGTCGGCCTCCGAGGAGACAGGAGAGAGAGTAGGGCACACGTCAAGTCACGTGGTTAAGCCAATAGCCCACATCTGCAGGTCTCGACTTCAGTCTGCATCGTGTCACACACGGCATGGGACACGGGAATCACCTTGCATTCACACAGTATTTACCAGGCGCACTCACAAAAGACTCATCTGATTGGCCCACGATGTACCATCAGGGAGAGAAATAGTCCCATTCTCCACGCATCTCGATACTCTTTCCAAAGTAAGGTGTAAGACTGCTAAACCAACAATCGGAACAGCTGCCGTCCATAGGTTTATGAAGCGCAGGGTAACCGTGCTCTGTATTTTTCAAAGCTTTTTCAATCTACTATTCTATTCTAATCACACAATGACACGGTGAAGAAGGCAGGGTGAAATCACTATCTGCTCATGAAAGTCAGGGGAGTCTGCCTAAGGCCTCATTGGCTGGAGTGCAAGGCTGCAGAGGCAGAATGTGAACCCAGAGCCTCTGGTTCCAAATATTGACCTTTTGCTTTCTGGTCTCTTCCCCGGGGGTGAGGAGTTGGCGCTCAGGCCGGGGCCACTCACCTGCTGGTCCTGTAGCTTGACTCCGACGACCCTGAAGCTGTTGCTGGCAGTGTTGTGGTAGATGTTGATGCGGCTGAATCCCTGCTGGCCAGGCTTGATGGGCACCCACTTCTTACTGGTGTCGTCGTAGACCATCACGGAGGCCCGGGCTTGGCAGATGCTCTGTTCACTGCAGAACAAGAAAGACCCGACGTGTCAGCCTCACTCTAGTGGATGGGCGCTGGCTCTGCCTTTTTCTGGAACTGAGGCTACTTGCCATAGGCCTTCTAACTGCCAAACTTGTAGCTGTGTGTGGAAGGGCTGCCCTGGAGGTGATAAGTCCCATTCTTTAAAGGCCACGCGGAGTGAACAGCAGGTTCTGAGCCCAAACTACGAATAGGTGGGAAAAGATGCCCAGCTTTGCTTTCAGGGAAAAGGCACTAGAACCTCTTGAGAGGAATTACTATTACAACTTGCCAGTCACCTACAGTATTCTAGGTACTGCACTAAACAAGGCAACGCACTGAAGCACCTACACTTGACAACTTCAACAGTAGCTACCTATTAACCCTGTTTTTCAAAGAAGAGAGTGGCTCAGAGGCCGAGGGAGATGTATAAGTCCACACAGGTGTTCAGTGATGAATTTGGGATTTCCAACCAGTTCTGTCTTACCCTAGAGCACAGAACACATTGCAACATCCAATGTGATGGGATAGCATTAGAGACACCATGAAGACAATGAAGGGGTTGGGTAATCTAAAGAGTGGGTGACAAATCAAAACAGGCAGGTGGCTGTGCTTCCCTTTGCTGAAGGCATTACCTACAAGGCCACCTCTTCTCTCCAGAGTGATCTGGAAATCCAGGGAAGAAGCAGAAGCAGCCCCTGCAGGGTACATGCTAACACTAAAATTAGGACACAAAAATGCTCTTCCCTTCAGAGCCCCCGGCTCCTCACTACCATCAGCCCAAGATCTTGAATGCAGTTCCAGCCTCGCGCACAGCAGGATCCCCAAATTCAAGGTGTGTGAAAGGTAGGCCGAGGACAGCAGGAAGTAGCAATTATCAGAAATGCCACATAAAGACAACGAGGCCTGTAAGGAAACCTGGAGCCCCAGGACTCGGGAGCAGTAACGGGAGGAAAGCAGGACAATGATAATGGCAGTGAGACGGTGGTCAAGAAATAAGCCACATCCCGTCCCCTTCCTAATCATATTTAAGAAGGCAGGAAACCAAAACATTTGGGAAAGATCTCTCCCCCTAACCCTGTAGCTACTGGGTAACAAAAGTAAAGTTTTAAAAAATAGATTGGTCTTCAGCGACTTGGAACCTGTTGGGTTGGATCCTAAGTGTCCCAGAGGAACTGGGCTTCCTGGGACCTGCTCCGTTGCTCAGATTGTGGATGATGGGAAGTCCAGATTTTTACGATCTTAACACCACCTCTGGGCACCCAACTGAACTCTGTGTGCGTGTGATGGGCTCCACCCTGCTGGCTCCTCACTGGGGTCTGGGGCGGCTGTCCATCCCCTGGGCAGGCCTGTGCTGGGGCTTGGTGTGGCTGGCAGTTATGCTGGGACAGAGCAGCCAGGGTTTTGGTCTGTGGTGAGCCACATCCTTTTCCATGACTCATCCTTCATCCCGCCAACACTAAAGGGACAGCACCTACGTTTCTGTGCCTTGAGCTTGGAATACTCTACCCTCTGAGAGAGCTTGGTTAGGAGGAACTGCCACCTGGTAGTTAAGTCTCTGGGCATGAGGTCTAGTAGAAATCAGAGCAAACCATCATGCACGCTGTCACTCAGACCTGGATGAGTCTCTCAACACAAACTACCTGTGAGCCGAGTTATGGGATCAGCTCTGTCACTTACTGCCATTGATACACCCTGGTGCTCACGGGGATTGGGGGAAGAGGGGATATTTTTCAGATACTTCTCAGGGACTGGAGCCGCCCTTAGATGCAGCAAGGTATCAGCCAACAAAACATGCCTGCATCGTCGTGGTGATCTGGGCTGGATCCCAGCTGCACTGCTTCTGATGTGAACCAAAGCCCGGTGATGACTGGGGGCGTGTGATAGGGTGACGCCTCTGAGGGTCCCTGTGGGCTGCTGTGGAAGTGGCTTTGACCTCCTTCAGGAGAACCTGTCATGGGAGCAGAGCCGACCTATAGTCCCTGGTGTGCACATCAAGGCCGTGTGTTCCCCAGGCCCCTCCAGCTACTGACCAACATGGCAGGGGGACCATGTTGGCCTGTGCTTGCCCATGGTGTGGGGGCAGCCCATGAGCCTGGATTTTCTCAGGGCTGTGCTGTGGTCTGAGAGGGCTCTGCTCTCCCTCCTGCCCTCTTCCTTCACAGACCTCACCCCGGATCCCCCTTGACGCTCTGCTGCCTACTCCTGCTCCCTCCACCCTCCACCAGGCTTTCCCAGAAAATCCTCTACACGCCAACTATCTGCACAGCCTTGGCACTGCTTCTTGCACACACTGTGACGGTGTGGCCCCGTGAGGCCAGGCCCATGTCTGCCTCGTTCTCTGTTGTGCATAGCCGGTGCTTAATAAATGCTCACTGGAGACTCAGTGCTGAGAAGGATCCTAGATGATCTAAGCCTGTTGAGGACCGGTGACACCAAGCCTGTGAGCAACGGGGACAGACTGCTCTCCCCAACAGCCCCTGCTGTCACATGGCCTTGGTTTAGAGCATCTTCCTGGCCTGAATGACACTCTGCTCGCTGCTCTGCAGAGTTGCAGAGGGTGTTCTGCTGCACAACTGAAGGAATGCCTTGGCTCCTCCGTGACCATCCCCACGACACTGCCGGTCCCTTCGCCATCCCTGTGACTCTTCTTTGTCAAGTGCCTCATGTGGCATGTTCTCCTCTAGGGTCTGGGTCCTAAAGCTGGTGTGGCATTTGGGCCTTGGTCTGACAAGCGCACAGAGGCTGGTGAGTGAAGAATGAGAGGGGAAGGCCAGCCCTGCCCCCGGGAGCTCCCAGCCGGCAGGGCAAGGAGCCAAGGCATCTTCCTGCAGAAATCGCTGTGTGGGCTTCACGAGGGAGACAATCCAGGAAGCAGATGTGGGACTCTAGGCGGAGGAGACAGGCAGCCTGGGCAGGGTACCACGTGGCACGCAGAGCCGCAGGCCCCTGTGGGGGTGAAGCGTACCCGGGGTCCTCCCATACCTTTCAGGGTGTTAGGAGCAGAGACGATGGAAATGGAGTGTTGTACTGGGCTGCCACCTACTAGGTGCTCAAATAGCAGTGACTGTTTTAGTTATTGCAATTATAGCCACAGGTTCCTTTTTTTTTTTCCTGTTGTTTTTAACGCTTTAGGTTCAAATTAAACTTGTGGTTAACCAAAACCCCCGGGTGCCCCCATCTGATGAGTGTTGTCTGTTTCTGCTTATTTCATGGCCACTAACAGATCTGAACACAAGGGAAGGCACATTTATTCCACTCGCGTCTGTCTTGCTAGCTTGGGCTTGTTACCCCTCTAGTTTTTGTTTTGGTTTGGTGACTCGTGGTGGCTATCCAGCCCGTGGCTGCCTGGGCTCTGTGCCTCCAAGTACCTCCCCTAGTGAAACCCAAAGTGCAGTGCACGTGTTCTGCAGCATCGTGGTACATGCGAAAAGAGTGAGCTGCTTTTTGAAAGCACATATGTACAAAGTTCTCTTTACTAAATAAAAGGCTATTTCCTTGTCTTTCCCAATGGGACCATGTCCCTAGGACTTTGTGGCCCTGGCCACGGTGCCCGCCTTCCTCGGCTCTGCAAAGGAGAGCAAGGCTGCTGCTCCCAGGCCTAGATCTCCCACAGGACGCTCCTACGTAAGCAAACAACAAGTGGTCAGGTGCTGGGACCTCTCCAGCACCTCTCCAGGGTGTTGTCATTGGGGCGGAAGGTGGATGGATTCCCTCAGAAGCTCACGGGCTGCTCAGAGTGGCAGGCCTAACTGATTCTCCTCTCAGGAGAAGACTCTAGAACAGCAGCCTGACTCCCTCCCACAACGGGGTTTGGCACAGGTGTCTGTGGGCCTGCCACTTCCCTGCAGCATCGGGAGACAGATCCAGCAGTCAGCTGCACTCTGTCCACTCGGAGGAGAAATGCTGTGTGACTGTGGGCCTGGCTTCCTCATCTGTACTGAGGGCCTTGCTGACCTCGGAGGTCCCCAGACAAGTGAGCACGCCCTGAGCTCTGCCAAGGAGCCCACACTGGGCCAGAGGGGAGCAGGCTTGGTCTCTGTCCTAGAGTTGGGCTGGCTTTCTTTTTTAGGCCACAGAACTCTTTGGAATAAGTTGAAATATTCCACTTACAAGGAACAAAGGCGACACATCCTGTGTGTTCTGCACACAACTCGGCAGCCTAACTGTGGACCAACAGGAGATTTCCTATCTCAACATAAGAAATCACTGAAGCAGTTGGAGGTAAGACTAACGGACAGAAAAGCTCACAGCACACACCCAGGTGATAGCCACCTGCAGTCGGCCTGTCTCTTGCTCTGTCAGAGCCTAGAAAAGTTCAGGTTCCATGCCCTGAACTATGGGACGCTGGCCCTACCACTCTGGTGGCCAGGAACAAGGTTTCTGAAGTCCCCGAAGCTCGCCTAGGCACTCCATCTTAGCCCGCTCTATCCGAGCACAGCTGACCCGGGCCCTCTGCTCTGTGAACCTCTTTAGGCCTTTCAAAGCACCTGCTACAAGAGCAAGGGCAACAGACACTGCACAGCGGAGAGACCTGCTGGAAAACACGAGGCCAGGGCTGAGCCTGAGAGTCCACGGGACTTGCCCACTGGAGAGAGCTGGCTTTTGCCTGGGCCACACACTTCTCAGTTTGTCCTGTTTCTTGGTGTCTGTCCCACTGGACTGAGAGCTCTTCGAAGGCGGAGGCTCTGCCATATTCCCTTGGTAAACTCCGTCCTTACGGGGTGCAGACACGAGTAGCTGTTGGACAAGTGACTCCAGGAGTGGAAAAAACAGGGCATTTGCGATCATGTGCCCAGGGGACGTCCCTCTTGCAACGCGACACAGTCCATTCTCACAGTGAGCAGCTGCCAGCTACCAGCAGGTGTCACAGATACCATCAGCACTTGGCTTCACCACCGCCTGGGACGGAAGTCAGAAGCCACAACACCGACGACGGTGGCCCACTGTGCAAAGCAGGGCTGCTGGGGCTGCGGCTCCAGGTGCCTCTCAGCTCGGCCAGGCC